TCATAGCAGCCATGTGGGTGCTGGGAATCGAACCCAGGTCCTCTGCAAGAGGAGTCCGCACTCTTAACCACTGAGCCATCTCTCCAGCCCCCAGATGCCTTTTTTATAATAGAGACTGGATACATGTCTGAGAAAGCTTAAGAAAAAAATCAGCTTACTTTCTCCAAATCATATTTACCATTTCAATTATATAAGGAAATGATGGCATTAATGCTTCCATTAAATGTAACAATATTTAAGAGTGATTAACATTGCTTTTTAGTAATACATATTAGAAAAGGTATTGTATTCCCTTTCAAACAAGCTTTCTGGAAGGCTAAATTTTCATGGATATGCACATACCTTTCTTTATTGGAGGAAAGATGATTTCTTGATCAACTCCATTTTTGTTGTTCTCGTGTTTGACAATACATCTGTGCTCTTTATGCATCGACTTTCCAGTCACAGTAAGCCAGCTAAACTTAATGTATGTGTCACTAGTGTTCATCGTGTTTCCCTCCTGGGATTCCACAATCCTATTGTCATCGGTGTCTTTCCAATATACCTTTATAACATCAGGGAAGAATTTCTCAAGGAGACAAAGGTATGTTCCAGCCTTGTGGAGCTTTGTTTCAGCAACAGAAGGAAGAAAAATGGTGGGCTTGGGGGAAATGTCTGCATCAAAGCTTTTATCTATGAGTAGGAACACGGAAAAACAATAAAAATTATTATAGAAACATAAACATTGCAAGATTTGAACAGCTGATTGCAAACCAGTAGAAAAACATGTTATCATGGAATTAATTGCTGTCACTATGGGTTGTGTGGAATGTATTATTGCTATTTACTTACAGCTGTGCAGACAGGTTTGAGAGGGTAAATAATTTCCAAAAATCATAGCTAATAAGCTCAGTATCTTCTCTGGTCTCCCTGAGAAGGCCACAATGATAGGGACAGAACCCTTTCTGTGTTATGAGCACATTTGACCTTCATTCTCTAGGGAACAAGCTGCAGATACACACTGGAAGCATTGTAAGCATGCACACAGCTAATAGTTTCTTCTGAGTTAGCCTTAACTCCAGATGCCATTCAGACTTGTCTCTGAGAAGCAGTGCAAGACTTAGCAGCCTTGGTGTTTGTGAAACCTCTCCCAATATACAGAGAGAGGGGGCGATAATGAATGAAAGTAGAATCTCAGAGACAAGACACACCTGACCAGAGGAAAAGGGCTAAACTTTGTATTGATTTATTGGCTTTATTCTGGTTTTGTATCTGTATCTGTTCTCAAAATGCTAAGAAAAGGATCCAGAAGGCAGATTTCCCTCTGACTTCCCAAATTGCTAGCTCTCTGAATAATCCAGTTTAAACAATCGATTCTTAGATTTTGCTTCTGTGATGGGCAGCACAGGACATTTGCATTTGTTCTTTCCCCACGTGCTGAAATGGGTATGAGTTTCAAAAGCAAGGCTTCCAACATTCATGAACACATCCATGTTTACACATCCCCTTTCTCTTCTAATTGTATAACATGATATCATGGTGGGTAGCAGAGGAGGGGAAGGAGACCCAAGTCACATTAATGATGTGTTTTCCTTCTCCATCCCTTGTCACTTATGTGTTCTGGACAAGTAGCTCTCCATCTCATGCTCTGTAATTCTATGTGACCCACTCTTCATTTAGCTAACTCTGCAGTGTACCCTGCTTGTTTTAGTGACATCTTTTTCTTTCCAATTTACCTTACTAACATCAGTGAAATTTTTCTTAAGAAGATCAAAAAGATGGAAGAGTAGAAGCTGCTGAGTGTGACACGCTGAAGGAGAAGAGTCAGAATAAGAAAGAATAAACTCTATTCTAAGGAGAGAAAAAGAGGACAAACATTGGAAATTCATAAAAGGAATAGTAGGACAGGTTATCATTCAGATAAACAGGAGGGTCGTGTACTAAGAAGCAGCATGTCAAAGCACAGTTCTAGCCACATGACTCCCCAGCAGAGGGAGGGGAAGGGAAGCCTCACCCCAAGCAAGCCAGGTAGCTCTGAGGCTAGGACACTGGCAGCCCTATTTCCAGGACAAACCTATAGTTTATGCAAGCCTCAAATTCAGCTGTAGGTCTTGTTGAGACAGTGAATCCTTTGTTGGGAAGGGTCACTTGTGAACAGGAATTCCATTCTGCCCATCCACATAACTCAGCACTGAGACCAGGCATCATCATGAGAAAGAACCTGTTGTTTAAAAGTGAGCTACTCTGGGGCTTGAGGTCTTAGAAGATTCCCAAGTCAGGGAGCTGAAGTCACAGGTGAGACAGCCATGGTAGGAAAGGCGGCAGGAAGTTTGGCTTAAGCAGTGAAGTGGCAAGGGAAAGAGGCCTATCCTTGGCAGGTAGAAGCTGATTTCATCACCTGAGACCAAGGTCAATAGGTAGAATGACCTCTAGAGACACCTATCTGCTATGAGGTTCACTCCTGTAGAGACTAAAGACTCTGAAGATCCAACTGGATACTTGACACAGCCACATTCCTCCCGCAGAGCGATGAATACTTTGTGGGTTTTGAAAGTATGAAGATAGGACCACTTGGAGAGAATCTCAATTTTGTGTTCACTTTGTATTCAATTTGTGATAGAACTGAAAAGCATCCCACAGTTAGAACATTAGCCACTCTAGGATGTACAAACTGCCAGATGAGATCTCAGGAGAATGGGACCACAAAGTTAAATATAGCCAACAGAGGCCCAGGACATGCAAAGAAGAAAAGATACTAAGTAAATGCAACTCTAGATGACATCAGACTCTTGTTCAGTACAGACTCAGTACCAGCATAAATCATATAAAAGAGGAGAGTCCATGAGGTGAACAGATCCTCCTCTACAGGAATATACTATCACACTAGAAGCAGCTCAAAAATTTGAGCTTTCTTAAAAAAATCCTTGTTTATGCAGTCACAAGTATATAACAAACCTGAAGACAAATCAAATCAAGGAAGTGGAAGACATATATAATAGAAATTTTGAAACACTGAAGAAATGAAGAAGATAGTCATGAATTGTAAGAATTAACATGGATGATAGCTATATTACCAAAATCAACAAACAACACAGATAAATGGAACAGAACAGAGGTCACAGATATTTACCCACACAGTTACAGCCACCTGATTTTTGACAAGGAGGTCAAAAATTTACATAGGAAAACAGACAGCTGCTTCAACAAATGGTGCTGGTAAAATTGGATGCCCACATATAAAAGAATGAAACTAGATCCCTGTTTCTTTCCCTGTATGAAAATAAGTTCAAGTAGATCAAAACCTTAATATAAGACCCCAAACTCTAAAACTTATAAAGGAAGAAATGGGAAAGCAATTTCTCAATAAGACTGTAGTGGCTCAGGAAACAGCACCAAGAATTGACAAGTGGAGCTTGACGAAATTAAAAAGCAGCTTCCTACACAGTAAAAGCATTGCCTCACAGCACAGTCATCGTGTAGCTTCTCATCTGAAAAGATGCTCTTCTAGCATGGTGATCCCCAAGTGAGACTTAGACATGATACTGTCATGTATAACTAGGATGCTAAAGAATTAAGCTTCTCCAGGACTCATGTTCGGGGTGAAGACAGGCTGACTTCGGCATCAGGAGGGAACCTCCCTCCCAGAAGATGTCGCACAGTTCTGATAAGTTAACTCACTTCCAAGTCTACTTGGCATATGTCCTGGCTTTTCTTTTATCTTCTCTGTAATTTTTATTTTTTCGATTAACTTATAAAATAACAGATTTCCTTATGGTATTTTTATACATAGTTTGGGGTAATCTTCCCCTCAGCTGCCATCCACTGCCCTCCCCATCTCCACTCTCCCATCTATTTGTCCCCTTCCACCCCCAATGCTCCTCTTCATTGGTCTATTACCGCAACCCAGTTCTCCCCCCAGTTAAAGCTTCTTCACCTTCCACCATAGCCCCCACATGGACCCCTTTCTGGTTTCCTGGCCTCTACCCACACTCTCACATAAATACAAATATATAAACATTAAAATCCAGAATCATTAAATGAGAGAGAACATGTGATATTTGTCTTTCTGAGCCTAAGCTACCTCACTTAATACATTTTCTAGTTCCATCCATTTTCCTGAAAATTTCATAACTTCGTTTTTCTTCAAGGGTTGAATAATACCCATGGTCTATGCATACCACATTTTTATTAAACACTCATATGTTAATGGATATATAGGCTGATTCCATTTACTAACTATTGTGAAATGAGCAGGAATAAGCACAAATGGACAAGTCTGTCTGTGATAGAATATACTTTTTAAGTGTATGTCCAGGAGCTGTGCATCTGAGACATGTGGTAGGTCTATATTTAGTTTTTAGAGAAACCGTCACACTGCTGAAAGTCAAGTGTGCGTATGTAGAGTTATCTACTAGATAAATTGCTAGAACCAGGGCAGGCTTTTCTTAGGAAGAAGAGCCTCTTGTGGTCCTAGAGCTTTGGGCTCTTTTCATCTCTAGCATGAGATTCCCCAGAGAAACCCAACTTCTTAGGATCCTACTGGTATGGGTTTCATCTTTCCTATAAATTGCAACACTCCCTCAGGAAAGGTAGAGAGAGACTAACAATTGTTCTATGCTCAGTTCTGGCCCAAACCATAAACAAACACATTTCCTTTACGAATTAATCGCTCTCTCTCTCTCCCTCGTCTCACCAGTAAGCAAAGAACCTCACATTTTGCCTACAGTATCTATCTACAATGAATTTAGTTCATGCTGATTCAATGACACACTGGTAAAAGAAAATAAAGGAATTGAACATGGATTTGGCACTATTATTTGACACCAAGGTCTCTATAATTTACAATTATTTCTCATGTACAATGAATCATATGTTATTAATAAAAAGAAAAATGTTTTGTGAGTGGATAATTATAATGTGGATAAAATATCCTTATTGGCATAAACCAATTGATATATTAGATGACATCATAAGTACACATATGGCTATTTTATATTTGTATTGCTGTATCAGAGTTTGAAAAATGCTCAGTGGAATATTTATAAGACATTTTAAAGAAAGATTTATGAAGTATTATGAAGTTAAAAAATCCAGTTTAAAAAATCCAGATTCATTATTGTATATCTAATATGAGGTTTATCTTCTAAAATAAAAGATATGCATGCATAAATGATTGACTAGAAATACAACAAAATTATGAGCTATTAATGTCAATATAAATCATTCTCACTTTAGGTGTTTTTTCCAATATTTTATGATAAATCAACATTCTTTACACATTTAGTAATGCAATAACTGATCAGTAAAAATTTGCTTGCCGAATGTAACACAGAAGTTGGTCTCCTCAGAGGTCACACTCCATCATCATCAGAGCTGAGTCTTTCCCTGCAGGCAGTTGCCTAGAAGTTGTTTCTCAGGGACATCGGGGGATTGTCTATGTCACCATTGTTTAATTTGATTGATAAAGTTTGCATTAAGCCACAGGAAAGAGGAGATCTTGAAAGTCCTCTTAAACTATGAGTTCATGTCCTCACATGATCTCAACTACTAAACCTAAATCTTCCATGTTTCCAATGCTTATTATAAGTTTTATGAAAAATCTCAGAAAACATCCGTTTCAGTGGATTCCATAGATTAAGATAGATTTTATGAGATTCTCCTTCTTCCAGACACATTTGCATTTTAAAGGCTAACAAGGAATGAACAAACTTGCTGAACTGAATTAAATATTAACTAAGAACAAACATAGCCTATATTTTATCTGAATGTAGTGACACAGTGAAATAATTTGGCATTTGATGCGTATCATACTGTGGCATATCACCCCAAATTTCATCTTTCTGTAAGCAGATGGCAAGCTTGGTACATTGTTTTCCCATTTTCTCCCACTGCTTATTTTTGCAATCACATAAATAAAATATCTGATCTAAATGCAAAACCTTCATTAGAGAAATAGCAAAAAGACCTAGCACCTACATCCTTCAGGGATACAAGCTCACTCCAAACACCTTGTAAATAGCTCCCATGTCAGACTGTATAGAACAGAACCTCCTAGGAACCTGGACAAGTTGCCTGACCTCTCTGGAGAACCCACTGTGGTGAGTGACCAAACCAGGAGCAGTTCTCAGAACTCTGAGACAGCTCCCGCCCTGGAGCCTACAGAGCTTGTACCTTTGCCTCCCCTCCCAGCTTTATTCTGAAGTATTTAAGGAAAAATTACCTGTAATGATGAGCTTTGTGCCAGAACCAAACACCTGGACCACATCTTTATCTCTCATCCACTATCTCAAAAACCTTTCTAAAAACCTCCCTTTGTATTCATCTTTTAATTAGACCAGTATTTTGTCATTGCTTATATAAAGACATAAAAACTGGCCTACTGACATTTAACAGAGACAAAGGTCAAACAAATCACATTGGATGAGAATGTATTGAGAATATAAGGAATGAACCCACTCTGTCTGCCTTGGGTCATGCCTGCCCTCTTGTATCAGATATGTTTCAGAAGTTTCATTTTATCTTTCAGATGACATTTCCCAAAGCTTCTAACTCAGTTCCCTTCATGTGTTTTCATATATGAAATTAGTTTGTGAACCTACAATTTAATTTACAGTTTATTAATATTTCTTAATTTTCAAATGGGAACAATAATACTAATCATATATTTGAGCACTCAGTATGATTTATAGCTATTTTGTAACATATATGAATGGATAAATGAGTATATGGATTGATTACAAAGTGGATTCTTGGAGGGAGAGAGATAGTTCAGCTGTAAAGAGCACTTGCTGCCCTTGAAGAGGACTAGGATTCAGTTCCCAGCTCCTCACAACTACTTGCAATTCCAGCTCCAGAGAATCTGATGCCCTCCTCTGGCCTCCACTGGCATTGTACACATGTGGTACACACCCACATACATGCAGGCAAAATATTCATATATACAAAATAAAAAAATAAATCTTTTAAATTAAAAATAAAGTGTATTCTTTTTCAGATCCAATACCCATTGATAACCATAGTTAATAGTTAACCATTAGTTAATCCATAATATGAACGTTTAATGATGAGCATTTCCTTGCTAGAAAATGCTTTTTTGACTTGAAAATTCCTTGACGGTTTCCAGAGTGTTGAATTGTAATCATGTGCTGCTCAGCAGAGGATCCTAGCCCTTGGTTGTTCCTGAAGCTATCTCATAATGCAGTTGAGGAATGCAATTTTAACATTGTATATAACATTTTTTAAACAGTTTCTATATTTCTGGAAAATTTGATGCTAAAACAGAAATACAGTAGAAAGGAGCAGTAGCAAACTGAGTTACAATTTTAAAGATGTCCCCTTACACAAGTTTCACACTAGAAACTTAGGCCTTGATAAGCCTCAGAGAGATGCCAAACTTTGTCACAGTCCTTGTTCATAGGAAAGTAAATAACCTCTCTGAGCCTTGTGCTTTCAATTGTACAGTGGGGATAGTCTCTTCACAGGACTGAGAAGAAAGAGAGAAAGCCTGGAATCTGTAGTGTACTGTTTGGCCTGCAAAAAGCTGTACTAGTATCATTTTAAAGGCATAGCATTCTGTCATCAAATTCTTGCATTAAATATAATTCAGCAAGTATATTCCTTTTCCAAAATGCTCAAGACTAGAAGTGGTTTTGATTTCAGAGTTTTAGAATTTCAGAGATTTGATTTAATGATGTTCAACCAGTATAGCAACTTTACAGACAACACCTGCTATTCAAATTAAGGAAATAAAAGAGCTCATGAGCCCATAATCTCCTGATTCTCTGGCAGTGATGCATCTAGAAATATGGTGAGGCCCAGTTCAGTTAAAATCTAGAACACTCATCCTTAGACTGGAGGCTTTGAGTGCTGATCTGTGTCTTGTAAACTCCATTGTCTTCATAACCCAGAAGGAATATTGTCTTCAGCAAATGTTTGATGAGTGACTGACTGAGCCAGTAAAGTTATACATAACATCTTAGAGATTTCATTACGGAGCTTGGAGCTGTATAGTTTGTGGAACTGCAAACTCTGGCAAACTGTGCCTTGAAACATACAACAAGAATCCCAGTAGCATAAATGTGACTGTTGTCAGACTATCCTCTAAGGAGTTAGAGAATAGGAAGTGCGGTTTGTTGACCTTCTATAGCCATTTACTATAGAAATTAACTTTCACCCTGTTTGTAGGGATGAGACCAAAACCAAATACAGATGTTTGGAAGGTTATCTGGAGAAAGCAGCACTGCATCATAGCTCAAACTACCATCAATGTTTTTATCAAAGAGCATCTGGAAGCAAGAGTTTAAACTATTCATCTACAAATATAATCCTCAAAAATTTTAAATTTGTAGCTTGAGGCCATCCTGTATATAGATAAGTATTCTCAGTGTAAAATTTTAATCTGTTTATTGACAGGGAGAGAAAAGAAATACTCATAAAGGAGTTTTGTTTCTCCATCCAATAGCCCCTACCTAAAGCTGCTATTTGTGAGCCCACACCAATAATATGACAGCCAGATAAAGTAGATTATAATTATATTTTAAAGTATCTACCCATTTTTTCACTACTAGGATAAACAAAGAAAAGTAACTACTCACCAGGAATTACAATAACTTTAGTTCCTTCAGGAAATTTCTTGCTCCTGCCTGTTCTACCATGCTTCTACGAAATCCAAGCCTTTTTCCAAGTCTCATGTCATGAACAGAAGGCTAAAAATTCATCCTGGAAAGTTGATCTGGGTTCCTTAGAGAATCCATGGATATAAGTTTTGTGGCATCTAAGAGCTTATATGTTTCCTCATAAGTTGACATCAGGTACAACTTTTTTTTTTCCATGGAGGCAGCTTTCGGAAAGTGAGGACACAAAGTGGAATAGTTCAGATCAGAAAAAAAGAGAGATGGGCCCAAAAGCAAGTGAACTATTTCTCGAGGTCATCCAAGAAAAGTCTTCTCAGAACGCAGTATGTTTAAAACTTTTCCAGGTTGTTTCTTTCATTAAATTTGCTCAGAGGTTGTATCAAAGGAACACGCTCATTTTCACACACCACAGGGCCCTCTGTCAGCAATGAAGGAATATGCTTGTAAAAGGAGGAAGTTCCGTGATAACTAAAATGCAAATGTATATATTTAAGAGAACTAAGCCGCAGTCCTGTTTGCAACCAGGCCGTATTTACAGTTTGACATTACAATTCAGGATGAAGAGAATTCCAAATGAGAAAGTAAGTTCTGTGGTGCCTTATTAGTTTTCTTGGGTGCAAAGACAAAACTGTAAAAGTCTACCTCCATGACATTGTAGGCTCCTTATTTAAACGTCAGTGTGGGAAGAATTCCACACTGATATAAAGACTAGAACCTCGTGGAGGCCGTTCTTTGTTCTTATGTCACTCATTTCAGAGGGAGGTAAAAAAGAACAGCTAGAATCAGCCTAGTGCTCCCTGGAGTCCAGGTGAAGTGTTCACCTGCCAGGACTGGAGAGGACAGGTCGGGGCTCTGTTGACCCCTACACCCTCTCGAGATATAACCTGCCCTGGGCCAAGTTACATGCAGGAGTGACTTGTGTCCTGAAGATGAAGGATGAATTAATCATGGTATACAACTGCCATTCACAACAACTCACAGCCACCAGCCTAACTGGGGATAAAAGGGCTGGATGAAAATTATGTCTAGAGGGGCCTAGAGAGATGGCTCAGTGGTTAAGAGCACTGGCTGCTCTGGCAGAGGACTGAGGTTCGATTTCTGGCACCTATATGGTGGCTAACCACCTCTGTAACTCCAGTTCCAAGTGATCAAACACCTCTTCTGATCTCCGTAGGCACTGCACAACATGGGTGCACTTACAGACCTGCAGACAATACACTCATATACATAAAATAAAAACAATAAAGTATTAAAAAAGAAAATTATATCTAGATAGTATTTCAAATTGTTTGATTGTTCAATTGATTGATTGGAAAGAAGTTTCTTTTCTTTTCTTTTTTTTTTAAATTTTATGAGACATTTTATTTATGATACATAGTAAACTATATTTGTAAGTTACATATTTAAATTTTCACAACAAATTTGTATAGTAAGGGTTTTT